TTAAAAATTTACATACACTAAATGCTCATTTTAAAATTTATTAACATTTAAAAATTTTTTCATTTCTAAATTTAATTTGTTATATTATTTCTTTAAAATTAGATGGATATGATTAAAAGCTTTAGCCATTACCAGTGCCATAAATGGCATTGTAGATGCTTTCCTTTGCATCTTTTTAAGCTATGGGGTTGCATGAGAAACAATGGTTTCACTAATGCTGAACGAATATTTGATACACCCAAATTTTTTATTTGTATATATTTAAGTAATTTTATCAAGAAATATTTTTTGGTACTGCCACTCATCAACACATCTTCCAAGTTGTTGCAACTTATATGATGATTGAAGCACTGAACAAGAAAAGGTAGAATGCATTTGGCATTTCATTCCATCATTCAATGAGCTGTTGGTCTTTTTAATACTTGTTGCTCCAATCTTTATAACTTTGATGTCAAAGGTTTATATTTTGATACTCTATGATCATCTCTTTTTCGGCTAAGATACATTGATATTGTTTTAAGTGGCTCTATACTCACTCATTATATATAATTTTGCCACATCTATAGGTACATACACTTACTGTTATTGTCCATTATGTTAGATTTATTCCTATTACATAAATTCACATTATTCATTATCACAAGGTAGTCTTTATTCCTATTTTTTATATTATACAGCAACTCAAACAATATTTATACTTAAGATATGTACAAGCTAAATATTTGGATTTTCATATTTTTATTTTTTGGGTGAAGTTTAGTTATATTTACTGTTGATATTATTTTGTTATTTAGGAGATTATTAATCACCAAACTTCAGATATAGGTGGATCCCAATAAAATGATCCTAGCTTGGGTTTAGACACTTCAAAAACCGTTAAATCCCCATGGATAGCTTTCTTTATGTTGTTTGTTGGTGAGGTTTACATATATTTATTGCTAATATTATTTTGTCATTTAGGGGATTATTAATCACCAAACTTCATATTTAGAGGGATCCTAAGAAAATTATCCTAGCTTGGGTTCAAACATCTTAAAGACCCTTAAATCCTTGTAGATCAATTTCCTTATTTTGTTTGCTGTTATCTCAATTAGGAAAGATCCATCTTACGTTAATTTAGAGGTGATTTTAATTTTTCCTAATGTGTCTCATTTCACCTATAATGATTTGTCAAATTAGCTAAATATCAATTTATTATTAGTAGGCTAACTTTACTGTAGGGAAAGATAAACTTTTCGATCTAGTTGTTTTTGTTTCATACATTTTCATAATTCTACTAGATCTTCTTAAAAAAGCATTTTCTGAAAAAACACCTTCTTCACAAGATTCTACTAGAAATCATATTAATACGGATAGTAATTTTATGATAGTTATAGGTAATTTACCTAAATGAATTGTCATTTGCCACTTGATTGACTACCATAAGATTCTTACTTTCTTCCCCAAGTTACAAAATCCTTAATTTCGTTTTTATTCTAACCTTTTGGAAAAAGTAAAACTAAGTTTATCTGTTGCTTCATTTTATTGAATTAGTTACCATTATGTTAAAAAATTGACATGTTTTTATGAAGATTTCAAGGTATGTTGATAATAAATTTGATTGTTAGTTTCCTTCACTTTTAAATAAGTTTTCTGATTCTTTAGTGTTATATCTTTTTGAATGCTTCATCAAGATAAAAAAAAAATAGTCGTGAGGATTTTGTTAAAAAGTTGAGATTAATAGTTAGAGATAATTTGTCAATGTCAACAATAAAATTTCTACAATACAAGGTAAAATATTGATATTGTAATTATAGTATTATTTCTCAATAAGTAATTTTCAATGTTAAACTACTTTTAAATTATCAATTTATGTTAACTCTTTATATTTGTTTAGGAAAATTTTACTACTTGCTTAACTTTCCTATTAAAATTTTTACTTAAAATAATTTTAACATTATTAACACCAGTTCAATAAAATACTAATAATTACTCTAACAAATCGAAACTTAGCTTACACCCTAGTATCTAATAAAACAAGAGATATAAAAATGGAAAAAGTACATTCCAAAGCTTTTGTCAAAGCTAGAGTCAAAACTCACCATGTGTACATTGGATAAACACAGCAACCTCTTTACTTTAACATTGATTAGGGATGATCAGCATCAGCTCAACCCCAATCTCATCACCTCCATTCTCTCCGCTCTCTTCCAAGCCAAGTCCAATCCTCCCATGGCTCGGTTCTTATTACCCAAGCTCAAGGTAAATTCTTCTGTAATGGCTTTGACCTCAACTGGACGTAATTTGCCAGTTCCAAACAAGGAGCTCAAGAACAGTTACTCCACCTGATCGAATTTTTTAAACCTGTTATTGCCACTTTACTCAACCTCTCAATGCCTATTATCGTAATTGTCACTGGCCACACCTTCACCATCGGATTCATCCTCGTTTTGTCTTATGATTACGTGATCATGAGGTGAGATAGAAGGGTTATTTACATTGTAAACACCCCAATCCGTCTGAGGGTCTATTTGTTTCTATTAATTAAATAATGAAAAAAATAAAAAAGTAGGTGGTTGAGTTTGATTGAAGTTGGGTGTTTGATTTTGAATTAAATTTGAAGGTTGAAGTTAAAATTTATAAGAAATTGGAATTTTTGTTCAAATTGGGATTTTGTGATTTTAATCATATAAATATAGATCTTAATTGAAGAATCAAGGACACACATAAAAGATACAAAGATCACACAAAAAAAAAATCAATGAGAGAAACAAAAAGAAAGGCAGAAAAGTAGTCATAAAATTTTGAAAAAAATTTTGGGTTAAGAAAAAGATTTTTTTGAAAATTTTTCTTAAAACTTTTCAATTTTTAGTGTATTTTTTAGTGCTAATTGAATTTTTGGGTGAGTTTTTCGACACTGGTTGAATTTTTTGACAAGTTTTCCAAAATTCGATTGAAGATTTCTGTGAAGGTTGAAATTTTTGGTGAACTTTTGGTGATGCAACTTAGATTCCGATAAGATTTTTTAGAATCCGACAAAGATTCAACTAGAGTTCATCCAATTTTAGAGAGAGAATGAGAGAAAAAAAGAGGAGAAGATTTGAGGGGAAAAAATGATTCTTTCTATTTATACTCCATCAAAACGAGTCGTTTTGGCGTTAAGAAATCACCCAAGATCCATATGTTTTTATTCAAGTGACCCGACTCGCACGCAACCCACTTTTGCCAACCCATGTTCCAGCCCACTCCTTCAATCGAGCTGAGCCAAGCCCCAAGCCACTTCCTTAGAGCCAGCTCCTATGCCTGAAGCCAAGCAATTTTCTCTTTTTTTTTTTTTTTTTTGGTTTTTTATTTGGTTATTTATTTATGTATTTGATTATTTTTATGGGTATTTTTGTATAATTAAATTTATGAAAAATAAAAAATATAAAACAAAACAAAAATATTTTTTTAGAATATATACTAATTATCTAATGATAAAATTTTTAAAAAATTTCAAACGGTAAATTTTTATAAATTTTTTCTAAATTTATCTCAAATGGTGAAATAATTTAGATAAAATTTCAATAATAATTAATATTTATTTTCAAATAAAAAAATAATAATAAGAAAAATAAAATTTTTTGGTTGAAAATATTTGATAATTACTCAAAGATGAGATTCTTAAAAATTTCAAATGATAAATTTCTTAATAAATATCTAGGTGACAAGTTTTTTTAAATTTGTCCCAAATTGTAGAAGAATTTAAATGAAATTTCAAGAAAATAATTATTCTATTATTTTTCTTTCCAAAGATTAAAAAGATAAAAAAAGAAAAATTTCTAAATAGACTCAAATGATAAAAATTTAAAAATTTCGAAAGAGAAAATATTTTTTATTTGACCCAAATTGTGAAATAATTAGATGTATTTTCAATAAAAAATAATTAAACTTTTTTTTTTCCAACGATGAAGCTTCTTCAAGAAAACAAACAGGATTCTTAAATACTCTCGAGATAAGAAAATATTTTTAAAAATTCTACCCAAATTAATTGAAGAATCTTATGAATTATTTTTAATATTTAACATAAAAATTAAAATCATTAAAATCAACACCTTAGGATAAAATTAGAATGAAATGGTATCATCTTTTGGATGAACATGTGATGGTGCTATAATATTTTTTATACGTAATTGACTTTTGAACCTTGTTATGATTAGTAGACCTGAAACTATTTTTTTAAATATCTTTAGTCAAACTTAGGCGCTCCTTAAAAGAATAGATTCTTTAAGTAACGAATCACACCTAGTTAAAAAAGATTAGTGATGATTCTATTTGTTAAGTATAGCTATAAATTTATAAATCTATGTGTTATGACATATATGGTCGAGGTGGACATAAGGTTAACGATTTCCAATTACACCCTGGCGTTGTTTAGTGAAAAGATTGGCGCGACTTTGGCTAGGCGCGATTTGTTGCTACGAGGATTGCAGATCTAAGGGAGAAGAGGCGGAGAAGAGGGGGATGGTGGATGCGGCGTACGATAGCGAGGTTGAAGTGAGGGAGGCTAGCGTGCGAATGGGGGAGGAATTGGCAAAGAGAAAGTGGAAGCGAGAGTTGTACGTGGAGATTAGGGAAGGGTTGTACCCGGAGCTTTGTGCCATACTGGGATTAGCTACCAAAGTATTTGCTTCTCCGAGGCTTTGATTAAAAATAAAGTGCTTGATTTGGTTGTCACCATTGAATAATTGAATTTTGTTTGTTTCAGATTTGAACGATCTTGTTCAACTCTACTTTTGTATTGATCGCAATGAAATTTTATTATTATGGCATCGAAATTTTACTTGGGAGTTTTAGACTGGAAATGGAGTTTTGAATCCAGACTCCAAACAGAGCCTTGAGGTTTTAAAACTCGGGACGATTAGTGTAGAAGCATTTCAACTATGGGAATAAGTACAACTAACAAATCATAATTTACTTGAGATCATCAAAATTTTACGTAAAATTCATATTTATAACTTATAAATGATAAATTTTTATATAATTCTTTGTTGTAATTAAATAATTGTATGATTGCAGTAACAAAAACCGTTGATATTGGCACATGGAACATCAACTGCAAATTCATGAGTAGAAGTGGAACAATGAATGAGCCAAGAGAGGTGAGGTGCAAAAAATCAGATCAAAACTGGAAAACAATAAAAAAAACCGAAGCCGGTATCCTGATATTTTCCAGTCCCCTTTGAACTCGTAATCATAGCAGAGGCAATTTCTTGCTTCATTTTAAAAAAACTTGAATGGCTGCATGAAACATTAATGAGTACCGAAAGTTTTGCAGTCTTAAATGGCATCCATGACTCCAGCACAATATAGCTAAGCAGCTTTTGGCTTTGGGACCTTCTTCTTTAGTTGCCTCTTTGGGATCGAGTTCTTCATCCCCCAGAAGAAAATTAATGCACCACATTGTGCAACACACTGCCATTGATTAAAAAAAGAAAAATAAATGAAGTTCTCACATCATAATGAGTGGAAACACATTAGATATGCATTTATACATACCTGCAAGAAATCACTGTGAAGAACAGAGTACTGGTGATCATTGGGAGCATAGTTGTAGAAGTCACATAGAATAGGAGTGCTAACCAGCAAATAGACAAACTACAGGACAATTAAATGAGATATAAAAGTAGAATCAGAAGAAACCGCAAGGTGCGGCTAATGTATAATTTCCTTTACAGTTCAAATGTAATCCCCAAAAGAAATGAATTCTAACCAGGAGAAAGGCTCCAAAGCCATGGCCAAATACAAATAGAATAGCACCAAGTCCTTTCAAAGCAATGGCAGCTGCAACTAATTGTCTAACCTGCGTAAAAAGTGTCCATATCAGAAAAAAAAGTACACCTAGAACAATATGAAAAAGTTATATCATATTAACACAAACTTAATATTCAAAATAAGAAAGAAATTTATTACAAGTTATTAAGAGAGAAAAAGAATAAATTACTTCGATATCTGGCAAATTTACATGGAGCTGAGAAGATATATGTTTCTTAGCAAGATCAAGCTTTGGTATCAACTCCTTTGCCGCAGGCCCGCCATCAGGCCCAAATTCATTGAACCTGCCAACAAATCAAATGGGTCACATCTACAAGATATCATCAATGTTTAATAACCACGCGTAGCTGACCCCTTTATACCGTCTATATAGGTGCAACAACTGGCAACAATATAGCAGCAGTGAAATAAAACTAACTACAGGGCCAATCACTGAAATGACACCGTACAAACCAGAATGGTGAAGATGGGACTCCGGCGAAGCGTCGAGAAATTAAGGCATCGAATCAACTGCCGGATTAGACAACAAAAAGAATCTATCGCATCACATCTATTACCACTTAATGGTACTCAGATTCATCTTCTCAAAATCACATGACCTACACTACAGTATCTCCAGGACGTACCTGAACAATACAATCATATTCGCAAGAACTAACCATCCAGTTCTGAACTTGCAAGATTAGGTTCATTCAACCAAAAAATAAGAAGCAAGAATATGTTTGTAATACCATTTTGCATCCTGGCAAATTACAACATTTAAACTATAAAGCATGAAAATTAAAATTTAAAAAAAAAATCTCCTACTAACTCCCCAATTCACAAACTTGAAAAGTGGATCCCAAACAGAAATCATCATTAACAAGAGTTACAAATTAAGGGGAATAATGCAACAGTACCCAAATCTAGCATATAAACATATATAAAAAACAACCCAACAATTAGATTTAAAGAGATCTAAATCAAGAGAGAAAAAGTGACTACATTTGCCAAGCGGAGAGAATGAAAATAGAAGCAAAGAAAACTCGTCCAACAAATGAAGCGAAACCCATTGTTTTCTTTCTCCTTTTCTCTTGACCCCACTTGGTTTCGAGCAAAAAAAAAAAAGTGTTAATAGAGCGAAATTCCTGGTTTCCTCTTCTCTTGTTTGCTGCAGCTACCTTCTGTCGAGAGGAAGAGAAAGAGGGTGAAATTTGGGGTTTTGTTTAAGGTGGTCGGGGTCATGATGGGGTCAATTGTTTATTTATTAAAAAGAAATTAAAAGGGGAAGTTGGAGTTTAGAAAATTTATTGAGGTGAGATGAGCAATGAAGAAATGAATCCAGATCCGATTCTTCATTACAGTATTTGCTTTATTAGTTGTTTACTGCTTCTGGGTTGGGGGTTTTGCTTAATTACGCCTTTGACATTGCTTTAAGAAGACTTCTTTAGCCGGAATTTTAGATGTTGTTCGGACGTCAAATTAGTATAAAGATACCGTAAAAATTACTGTATACTAGAATTAGTTTCAATAAGCTGAAGTAGATTAATTATTTGATCAAATTATGCCGGAAGTATTTATACTTTATGAATATTTTAAATTTAGTTTATGTATTATAATTTATAAAAGTTTAGTTTTTATATTATTTTTATTTGATAATTTTAATTTAATCATTAATTTTATAAATTTTTTATTATTAAAAATATTAATATAATTATTGTTTTAATAATGTGATTATTGATTTTATTATCGTAATTAATTTTTTATTATTAAAAATATTAACGTGATTATTGATTTGATGACATGATAATTGATTTTGTTAACATAATATTGACTTGCTAACTCACCAAATTGAACGGAAGAAATCAAATTTTAAATTATATAAATAATTTCTATATTTATAAGAATTTGAAATTTAATCTTTGTAGTAAAATAAAATGTAAAATTTAATTTCTTTAATAAAAAAATATTTTAAATTTTTATGTTTTTAGATTTTAAAAATATTAAATTTTAAAAATATTTTAATCTCTGTAATATAAAAATATTTTTAAAAATATATTAATTTTTATTATATATAATTAATTATTAATAATATCATATTAATAAAATTATTTTTTATATTAATCAATTATAATATTAATAAGTTAAATTAATATATCAATTTTTTTAATAGAATAACCAGCTTAATTCATTGATTTGAAATACACTCCTTCTGTAAACGCAGTTCACGAAAACTGGGTAGTCTTCAACCCAAAACTTATCCTGAGTGATTTGTGGCCCATATTTTGCTAAATTACAAGCCACCATATTCCCTTGTTTCAAAACATGCAATACATTCCTTTCCCTGAACAAAGAAAACTTATATCTGCCTTCTATTATAATATTAATAGGTGATAGGACTGGGTCCTCCTTTGACTGCAACTTCGTCACAACTGTTGGGTTGTCTCCCTCCAGAAGCACCTTTGTAAATCCCACATCCAGTGAAACGTTAATACTTCTATTGCTGCCCGTGCTTCCACTTAAAATGGATCCTTAGCATCCATCAACTTTACAGAAGCAGCTCCGGCTACAGTCCCCTTGGAATCTCTGATTACTTCCTCTGTCCCTCCCTTTCTGTAATGGTTGTCTAGTGCGCCATCGAAATTGACTTTAACCGCATCTGAGCCTGGTGGTTCCCGCTTGTGCAATTGTATCCAGCATAAGAGACTGTGTGTCATGGATTAAGCTTTTTTTCAATAAACAATAGATTGTGCGTCATTTGAATAGACGTTTTCACCCAAGTTAGCCTTCAATAGTTCGATATCTGAACAAATAATCATAAGTCATGGTTAGTCTTAAGCATTCACAATAAGACACAATATATCGAGATCAATCTCAAACACACACAAAAAAGTACATTCACATCGAAAAAAAAAAATACATTGAAGTAACAGTCGGGACATTCAATCGGGGTAAATTTTATTATAATCGAGATTCCTACATCGGGACTTCCTACCATCACCAGAGCCAGGGGGCAACCCTTGGTGGATGGCCTAAGCCCGCATAGCAACCGGTGAGATAGCTCGATAGTACGCTATCGGCTCACCCCCCTAAAAAGCCTTAGAGATTTTAGAGCTATGCTACCATTAACCATTACAATGTTTGAAATGGAGACATTTTTCCTAACACAAGAGATCTACCCGGCCATGGCCCTATACATGGATAGCTCATGACAACTTAAGCCCCGATCATAGCCCTATACAAGGTTGGCTCATGACATCCTCCCCCACCTATTCTATCGACGTCCTCGTCGACTTGCTGGCTTGAAATTCTTCGATCTTCCTTTTGAATCTCTGGAGGTCGTGTTCTCTTTCCCAGCTAGTTTCTTCTAGTCTTAATCCCTTCCACTTCACTAAGTATTCACGAACTAGTCTTCGAGATATCTTGGTCTCCCTGTCGACTAAGATTTCTTCGACTCGACGCTCTGAGGGTAGCTTCATGGTAATGGTGGCTCTGGTTGGCTCCCTTCTACTAGCATCTGTATGATCTGCATGGAAAGGTTTTAGGTTGCTCACATGAAATACTGGGTGCACTTTCATCCACTTTGGTGGGTCGATTTTGTAAGAAGCATTCTCCACCTTGGAAAGGATCTTCACTAGACCCTCATATTTGCGCACTAGTCTACGATATCTCTTTCTCAAGAACCTGGTTTGTTCCGGGACTAGTTTGACAAGAACCAAATCACCAACTTGGAATTGTTGAGCCCTACGACCTTTGTCTGCCCATTTTTTCATTCGCTTCGATGCTTTCTCCAGGTAGGCATGTGCAATCTCCGTGTTTTGTTTCCACTCCTTGCCGAGGTTGAAATGTGTGGTAGCCTTGGTAATTGTCCAGTGACCACCTCAAATGGGCTTTTGTTAGTGGAAGAGCTTTTGTTGAAATTAAAGTAGAGTTGAGCAACGTCCAATAACGAAGGCCAGTTCTTTTGATTGGCTTGAACAAAATGCCTCAAGTATTCCTCTAGTAATCCATTGAACAGTTTTGTTTGACCGTCAGTTTGAGGATGGTAGCTTGAGGAGATGTTGAGTTGGGACCCCAATATCTTGAAAAGTTCTCTCCAGAAGGATCCCGTGAATCTCGAATCTCTATCGTTGATAATGTTTTGAGGGAGGCCCCAGTATTTGACCACATGTTTAAACAATAGTCGAGCTATGTCTTCCGCTGTACACTACTTGAGAGCGGGAATGAATGTGGCGTCTTAGAGAACCGGTCAATCACCACCAAAATAGCTCCAAGATCACCAACCTTAGGTAGGCTCGAAATGAAATCGAGAGAGATGCTTTCCCACGATTTTGTGGGTACCGATAGTGGTTCAAGCATGCCTGCAGGATTTTTCTTTTCAACTTTGTCTTGTTGGCAAATGAGGCAAGTCTTTGTATAGTCCATCACATCTTGTCGCATGTGAGGCCAATAGTATCCCTGTTTCAATAACGCCAAAGTGCGTTGCCAGCCCGGATGTTCGACCCACAGTGTGTCATGACATTCCTTCATCAGCATCTGTCCCAGACTTCCTACTCTTGGCACAAATAGTCGAGGCCCCTTTGTCCACAAGATCCCATTTTCTTGCCAGAAGTACTTGGACTTCCCCTCTTCCACTAGCTTCAATATGGCACTGCCCTATGGGTCCTTCCCTAAATGATCTTCAATCAACTTACGAATATTTATCCTGACCCTGTTAGCCGCCATTGGGGCAATACTTCTAAGGGCCGCTAACTCTGTTCGCCTGCTCAATGCATCAGCCACTCGATTGGTCTTTCCAGCGGTGTGCTCAAAGCAAAAGTTGAATTTCGCTAAAAATTCTTGCCATCTACCTTGTTTTGCTGTGAGCCTTGGTTGGGTGAGAAAATGGCTAACAGTCGCATTGTCTGGCTTCACTACAAAGTGTGAACCCAACAAATAATGTCACCAAGCCCTCAAGCAGTGAACTACCACCATGAGCTCTTTTTCCTGGGTCGTATACTTCCTCTTAGCTTCCTACTTTCGAATGTTATCGGGTGATGTTGTTGTAAAAGCACTCATCCAATAGCGAAATCAGATGCATCCGTCTGAACTTCAAAAGACTTTTCAATATCAGGGAGAGCTAAAATAGGATCCTTCATAATAGCATTCTTCAATCCCTCAAAAGCCTATTGGCATTCACTCGTCTAACACCATTTATGCTCCTTCTTCAATAGTTCCGTGAGAGTCGTGGTCTTGCAAGAGTAGCCTTCCACAAAACCTTCTATAATAGTTGGCTAGTCCTAAAAACGAGCGGAGTTCACTAACATTCTTCGATGTTGTCCACTCCTTGATGGCCCTAACCTTTTTCATGTCTATTCGAATGTGGCCACGCTCGACAATGTGATCGAGAAAATGGATTTGGGTCTGAGCAAATGCACACTTCTCCCTTTTCACGTATAACTGGTGGTCCTGTAACCTTCGAAGCACCTGACGTAGGTGTTCTTGATGTTCTTCTAGAGTGGAACTATATACCACTAAGTCGTCTAAGTATATGACTATAAATTTGTCTAGGTAGTCATGGAACACCTGATTCATCAATGTACAAAGTGTGGCAGGAGTATTGGTCAGTCTAAAGGGCATAACAAGAAATTCAAATGCACCATACCGTGTTACGCAAATGGTCTTAGGCTTATCTCCCTTAACGATTCTGACCTGATAGTAGCCAGATCTCAAGTCCAATTTAGAAAAGTACTTAGCCCGACTCAATTGATCAAACAAATCTGCTATAAGAAGAATATGATATTTGTTTCTCGTGGTGACTTTGTTCAGGGCCATGTAGTCCAACATAATCGTAAACTTCCATCATGCTTCTTTTGAAATAGCATTGACACTCCGAAAGAAACCTTTGATGGTCTAATGAACCCGACTTGTAGAAGTTCATCTAACTATTTTTTTAGTTCGGCCAACTCTAACAGGGCCATGCGGTAAGGGGCTTTAGCAAGGGGTTCTTTCCTGGGAGAAACTCAATTTCATGGTCCACTACTCGTCGAAGGGGTAGAACCTTAGGCAACATCTTTGACATCACCTCTTTGAATTCTTCCAACACTTTTTTCATGCCCGCGGGTATCGGTTTCACTCTCAACCCTTCTTTATAGATCGATATGACCACAAAGGAAGGTTCCCCTCTCTTTACCTCTTTTTTGAACTGTAAAGCTGAAATCATTTTTTTCCACCCTTTGGTAAGATATTGGCCGGCACCACACAGGGGTGTTCCCCTAAGAACAATAAGCAACTAACAGTGGGGATAGGGATCGCTTGAGCCAACCTCATGAAGTCCAATCCAAGGACAACATCAAAGTCATTCATGGGGGAAAATGTAAAGTTTACCTTCCCTTCCCATGGCCCCAATTTTGTTGTCACACTCTTG